TCCTCTAAAATCAAGAATACGGTTTATAATGATTGTGGAACTAAAAGAACAATGAAAATTAGTGTAATGATAGAGTATCTGGAGTTACAAATGCTCTCAATTTCAAGTTTCTTTTTAATCTGTAAAAATCATCTGGAGTTTGATAATATATTGACAGACGAGTTTCCTGAAATTTTCATCTATAATTTTTTCTATTTTAAAACTCTTTACATATGGTTGTCTTATATTTTTAACTCCATTGCTAACTACTTGAGGGCTAATTCAGATAAAAGTTTTAAGAAACAATTTACCTTAGCTTTCACTACACAGATAATATTCTAGACTTGAGGGAAAAAAGAAGGAATCTTTAAGAATGATTTAGGATACAAATCCCCCAATGAAGGATAAGATTGGTTGTTTCCATCAGGCCATCCCCAAACAGCTCATGGAATCTGCTGCTTGTTGATTTATGCTTTTACCTAGGCAGATGCTGCACTTGGGACCGAATTCCCAGCCTATGACGTGGGCACCTGGGGCTTCTCTATCTCAAGTTTCCAGAACACATTTGCATCCCTCCCCAAATTACTTACGTGCCACCAAAAAAAAAAAAAGTCATCTTTGTTGCCCCAAAATGAACAATACATTTTTTAATTACTCAGAAAAAAGCTTTTCACAGTGATATAGTTTGACTGTATCCCCACCCAAACTCCCAAAGTCTTCAGTCTGTTTCCACCTCCATCTAACTGTAAAACACATATGCTAGACAATGTTAATAGACTGATTTATTTCCTTCTATACTTTTCTAGATGCTCATAAATATGTACAAACCAAAAACATATCTAATGTTCTGAGTTTTTAAAAACAGGATAATACCCTACTGTATAATTTCCTTTCTAAAATTCTCACAGATTTTTTTCCCCAAAGGTTAAACATATAGCCCCAACTCATTTTTACTAATGACTGCATACCATTTATAGAAAAAATATAACATTTTCAACTCTTCACCAAGCCATCCACATTTTTGGCTATTTCAAATAATTTTATAATAAATTTCAATACACATAAAGTCTTATCTATTTAGTCACTAATTTCTACAGAATATATATCTAAATGAGTAAACCAATGGTTATTGAACATTTTAAATGTCAATGCGTAGAAACAAATCATTTTACCAAAAAATTACAGCAATTTATATTCCCATTTGGAATGAAAAAGAATGTGGATTTCTCCAAACCTTAACTCTTACCTAGCATACAATATAAGCTACTTTTCAACAGCTGGCTACCTGGTAGATCAAAAATAAGTCCTATTTTCACGTAAAATTGTGTGTCCCCAATGGGTATATTAGAGTAGACTTTATAAACATTCATCACTTGCTTGCATCTTTCTTCTGTTTATATCCTTTGCCTAGTTTTGTATTTCTTTATTTATCTTTTTCTCACCAACATTAGGAACTCTTCATATATTAATTTTATCAACACTTCATTATACTTGTGGCACATATTTTCTCTTGGACTATTTTTCCTTTCTATTTTGAGTTGTGTCTTGCTATTACTAATTAGTATTCACACTGTGAAACTCATCAATCATTTATGTATGGCTTCTGGGCTTCCTCTCTTACCTAAAACCTTGCCTACCTTTAGTTTACAAGGCTCTTTCCCCCAAGTTTCTTCTAATATGTTAATGGTTTTATTTTTACAGTTATCATTTTTTTCCCTGTGAGATTTATTTCTCTTTACGCTGTAGGTTAACAGTTTTAATTTTCTTCCAGATGTCGAATCAGTTATGACAACACCATGTAAGCCACTTCTTTGTAATGAACTGAAACACTAATTTTAAGTGAATAGGCAGATAATGAACTGAAACACTAATTTTAAGTGAATAGGCAGATATGTATACATGAATCTGTTTTGAACCCTCAATTATGTTTTACACAGAGACCATTCTTTTCTGAGCCCACTGGGCAGTATTGTGATCGGTATGGTTGTAAGACAAAACTTCTCAGAACTTTCCTTGCACTCTCATATATTTATACTTCCACTGGTCTTTAAAATAGTTTGATCCAGTTTGCCAAAGAAACAAACAACCAGCCACAGGATTCTGATTACAACCACCTACATTTTATATCCTAATTTGGGAGACAGTAATATTGTGATGATACTAAGCTTTTCAACAGAGGACCATGCCATGCCTTTTTATTCATCCTGAATTACTTTACATCCTCGTGATAAAATAATTTTCAGCAAACAGGTCTTGTCGTTTTGTTTGTTTTGTTGTTGTTGTTGTTGTTGTTACATGTATTCTTCCTGCTTTAAATGTTCTTACTACTCAGAAGTCAGTAGCCTAGCAAGACTTCCAGATCACACATGAATAAGAAAGCATAACATAACCTAACCATAACAAGGTAGTACTTTGAGGATGGGAGTGGTGTTAACTCCCTTGGTGGTCCCTTTTATCATTTCCCCTTAAACATAATCAGAAAACTCTCAAGAGTAAGCTTTGGAAAGCAAAGTAATCAAGGAGCACAGCCTAAAGCTCAACCCAATTTCCTGCTTCCTGACTATTTTCACAAACTAGACTATCCACTCAATCTATTCAACTCTCCCTTGAGTACCTACTTAGCTGAACACTTCCTGACCAGATGGCACACTTTTGACTGATAGCATCATTGATCCTTTCTGTCAGTGGGCTGACTGTTTAGGTGGTTTCCCATTCTTACCTAAATCAGTTTCCACTCATGAAACAGAATCAGTTTCCTCTAGAGCCCTTCTTCTTTTTGAATAGAGTTACTATTCTTAATTGCTCCCATTTTAGGCTCTTGCTCTGCTGAGATGTTCCTGGAGTCAGGTAAGTTGCTAATTCAGCATCACCAAATCACATAACCCAAACACAGCAGGCTTTTTAACTTAAAATTGTAAAAACTGATATATTTTCTAGCACATGTTTAGAAGAAGCAGTAAATAAAAGAATCTTGATCATCCAGCTCTCTTTATTCACTACTTTTTTATTTACAAGAAACATGACTTTTATAAAGTGACGTTTTAAATCTAAGGTTCAGGTTTTATTTACTTACACATTTTTTGGCAAAGTAATATTGGGGGAAGAATCGTTCAGACTTTCATTAGTTTGAGAGGGGAAGTTTTAGACTGTATCCTTCCAGATCCATCTCAGAAAACACTGGACAAACCAATTTGCCTTGACTTTGATGTGATATTCATTTACTGTCATACCATATTTTTAACTTCCTGGATATATTTTAATTTTTTATTAGAGTTTATGTTCTCTAAGACTAATTATTTCACTTTGTACGTTTAAAAGCATTAAATGTCAGGTCCATCAATGAATATGCCAAAGCTTCACTCATAGGAAATTTTGATTGCAAAGTTGTTTTTCTTTCCCTATAAAATATCTTTTCACGGAAGGCTGCCCAAAACACAGAGTCCAAAGGAATTACAACCATATTATAATATTATTTATATAATAAATACCAACACTCTGCTAGATAAGTATGAGTTTCTTTCAACAGAATTTAATCTTTAACTTTCATCTAGAAAAAGTGTTTAAAATGTCCCCAAACGCATGTCACAGAAATGGAATGTTTCTACCTGTTCTTTGACTGAGGCGAGGATGGCAGAGGTGGTTTCTGTTTCAGAGCCATCCCCGTTGGAGGTGTTTAAGCCGGGGCTCAGGGAACTCGTTTTCTCTGAGGCTGATGAAGGCTGGTCTGGGACAGGCATAGCTCCTGCAAGGCAAGAGGACACGATCAATACAATCAGATGTTGACACTAAACAGGTACAACTATCAGACCACTCTAAAGATACACACAGAAAAAAAGTAAAACTATGAGCTGCTGAGAAAGACCAAGACACAATTATAGAAGGGGGTTAATACAGTAAATTAACAGTACAAGTAAATGGAATGCTTTAACCTTTTATCACCCCCAACCAAATTCCAGAACACACTCCCACCTAGTGTTTTGTCTTGAGGTAAATGGGGAAAGAAATGATGAGAAGGAAAGAGGAGAGATTGTAAGAGTAAAGCCATAAAGGAGTATTGAGTCTGAGAAGCTAGTCCAACTACAAATTTATGACTATTTTAGGTAAATTTATAACCTGCCTATTGGTATATGTGGTGTTATTATATGTTTCCTCCTGGCTCATATCTCCTCTAGTCCCTGATGTAGTCTTGTGATGGTGTTGGGTGTGTCAGGTCTCAGGAGCAGGCCTCAGAAAGCAATTTCTCTGACCTTCCCCGCCCTCCTTTGACCTGCTCTAAGGCAGGACTCTAATCTTCGCTGCCTCCTTTCTGGTTATGGGTCATAAGACCCTCATTCCACAGAAGGTCCTGCCCCCATGCCCTGGGGGAAAAAATGCTGATGTCAAGAAGCCTCCATAAAACCAGAGGACTGGGATCCTAGAGCTTCTGGGGAGCTGACCATGTGGAGGTTACTGGAAGGTGGCACATCGGGAGGACTTGGAAGCTCTGCGCCTCTTCCCCCATAACTCACCCTGCGCAAATCTTCATCTGTATCCCTTGTGATATCCTCTGAAATAAACGTGTAAACACATGTGTTTCCCTGAGTTCTCTGAGCTGCTCTAGCAAATTAATGGAATCCAACCCAGGGACTGTGGGACCCCCAGCTGAAGCCTGTTGGTCAGAAGTTCTGAGGCTTGGACTTGCAGTTGGTGTCTGGGGGGATGAGACAGTCTTGGGGACTGAACCCTCAACCTGTGGGCTCTGACACTCTCTGAGAGTAGATAGTGTGGTAGATCGTGTCGGAGTGATAGAGTAGACAGTGTCAGAACTGAATTAAAGGACAGCCAGCTGTGTCTGCTGCTTGGCGTGTATGGGAAAAAATCCACACATTTGGTCACAGAAGTCTTCTGTGTTTGTTGTCGCTGTGTGAGAGCAGAAGAAAAACAGAGTTTGAGAGGGTTTTCCCCAAAACAGTATATTTCCAACTCAAAAGAAAATCTATCAGACATTCCCCTTTGTAAGAAAACCATACAGAAGCCATGATTAATAATTTACCAATAATTAAAGAGATACCTGAATTAACATAAGAAGCTTAGTATTGTGAAATACAGTCAATAACTAATCTACTCCACAAATATTTACCAAGTTCCTACTCTGTGACAGACAGCAGACAAAAACTGGCAAGGCCATTTGCCACAGTTGATTTTGTCTGAGTTTATTTATGAAAGAAAGCAGAAACTCAAATAATATTAGACCCAGTGCGTAAATGGATGCGTACGTACAGGTTAAAAACAACATTCTCAGAGTTGTTCCTATCATTCCTGCACAAACAAATGAGATTGCTGTGCTCTGAGTGTTGATGTCTCCCAAATTCATATGCTGAAATACTAATACCCAACGTGATGGTACTAGGAGGAGGGGCCTTTGAGAGGGGAAGAGGTCAAGAGGGTGGAGCCCTCATAAATAGGATGAGTCCATATAAAAGAGGCCTGAGAGAGACTTCTCAACCCTCCCACGATGTGAGGGCACAGCAATAAGACATCATCTATAAACCTGAAAGCAGGTCCTCCCCAGACACCAAATTTGCCAGGCCTTAATCTTGTGTTTCCCAGCTCCAGAACTTCAAGTAAATTTCTTATAAGGAAATTTGCTTATAAGGACCCAATTTATGGTATCTGGTTACTCTGGTCCCCGAGAGAGCCGCCATGACCTTGTATGGCCACCTCTCTACATGTCCATGGGTTCACAGGGGACTCTATGCAAGGTGATACGGTTTGACTATGTCCCCCTACAAATCTCATCTTGAATTGTAGCTCCCATAATCCCCACACGTAGTGAGAGAGACCAGGTGGGAGGTAATTAAACCATGGCGGCAGGTTTGCCCACCACTATCATATTCTCATGATAGTGAATAAGTCTCATGAGATCTGTAGCTCAAATGAACTAAAAAAGGGACTGAAGTATTTGTTATATGTATCATCTAGCAATGATCAACAGAGAAAGCAATAGTTAACTGAAGGTGATATTTACTAAGGCATTACAAAACCCTCATCTCAATAAAAGGCTGAGAGTAAATAGAAATTAGTTTCTTGCCTAAAGCTATTATATTACACATCCCTCCAGGAACCAGGGTTGCGTAAATATTAAAAGGTATTTTCTATTATATCTAAGCATCCTGTGATTTTCACAGTAACCTCTGCCCTATGTTTTTACCTGTGTCTAGTTAATAATTTAGAGATATGCAAACCTAAAAAGGCCCCATTACAGAATTTTACTTAAAATATATGTTAAGGAAAGCAATCATCCAAATTTCTTATGAATATTTCATCTAATTTTTGATTTGTTTTAATTTTATGAAGTACTTATAATAATATCACCAATGGGGATTGGAATAGCACTGGAAAAGTAAATCTGTTACAAACAGAATATGTGAAAAGGAATAATAATATCACCAATGGGGACTGGAATAGCACTGGAAAAGTAAATCTGTTATGAACAGAATATGTGAGAAGGTTTGGGGAAATAATATCAACAAGACAAAATCTGAGCAAAGAGTGAGAATCAGATTAAATATGATTTGGCAAAATGCAACCATAGCTAAAAAGTTTGAAGTATTGAAGGTGATGAATACCAACAGGATGAAAGAAAGAGATTTGCATAATTCTGGTGGTGTGTTAGGAAGAACATAATGAAGTGTATTTATGTATTCAACATGCTTTCTCATATGGTTTTCTTATTTGATCAAATCTCTTAATTATGTAGAATGTAAACAAGCAGTTCAGCAAATGTTGTGCCCAGATAAAGAGTGGAACCTATGAATTTCCACCTAGGGAAGGTTTCAGAGACGGTGGAAGACAGCAGAAAATAAGAATGAAGGACAACGCAGCTCTTGTGTGCACAGTCACCTCTGGTCCCCGAGACAGCTGCCATGACCTTCTATTGCCACCTCTCTCCATGTCCATGGGTTCACAGGGGACTCTATGCAAGGTGATATGGTTTGGCAATGTCCCCCCACAAATCTCATCTTGAATGGTAGCTCCCATAATCTAAACATGTAGTGAGAGGGACCAGGTGGGAGGTAATTAAATCACGGAGGCAAGTTTTGCCCATGCTGTTCTCATGATAGTGAGTAAGTCTCACGAGATCTGATGGTTTCAGGAAGGGCAGTTCCCCTGCACATGCTCCCTTGCCTGCCACCATGCAAGACATGTCTTTGCTCCTCCTTCACCTTCCACCATGATTGTGAGGCCTCCCCAGCCATGTAGAACTGTGAGTCCATGAAAACTCTTTTTCTCTATAAATGACTCAGTCTTAGGTATGTCTTTATTAGCAGCATGAGAATGGACTAATACACAAGGAGCACCTCATGCTGAGAAAGGAGGAGTCTCACATATTTTAAATTACCATTTTAATTTTTGTTTCCTTTACATTTTATTGGGCCCATGTTAATTCAGTCTCTGAGCCAGTATTACTATCAACATAGTTTTGCCAAAGAAATTGTTTAAGGGCCCAAAGTTATTAAGTTACATAAGTGGGCCCGGAACTCAGGCTTTCTGCCTTTTAATTTCTATTTCAATGTCCTTTGATGTGTCAGCCTATTTCCCGTAACCTGTACTGCCTCCTAAATGCTACTCTACTAACTAATTTTTATAAAATGTAACTCTTTAAAAGCGTAACAGTGACCTGTCATTAAAAAAATATGGGATTTAATAGGCACTGAATCAAGGTTTCTCCTCAGGCACTTGACAAGTGTGACCCACACAGTATGGGGAATAATTAGGCCTGTTTATCTACCTCCTTTCTCCTTACAGCAATAACAGAAAGAAGTGGAATCTTCAAGGCTTATTCCACCATACAGAGCTACTGCCACCTAAGGCAACCTCCATTCCTGAATGCAAATGACTTGGAATAATTTCCATGATTCATAATTTTTTAAATCCAAATTTAATTTAACTATTGGTCCTCACTGTGTCTGGACAGAAAAGACAATCACCTTCCAATTACAATCTTGTCAGCTCAGGGCACACAGAAGAGAGAGAGGAGATGGCAAAAGACCTGCCCCAGTGAATCCCTGAATGGCCTTAGGGTAAGTATAAAAAGTGTTAAGCCTCTACTTCGCAGTAATATAGCCAACTACTTCAGTCTTAATCACAGCTAATCTACTAAAAATTAGTATTTACTCTGTGCTAAATCCAGGAAATCTGGAAAGGATAGAGAAATAAAAAGCAAAAATCAAGAACAAAGGAAGAACAACCACCAGGAATTCTGCCATTCCAGATAAGTAAAATTACTTTGATGGGGATTTTGGTGATTATTTCTAATATAACTTATTCTCTACAACGATTTTTTACATAATAAGGTACTAATGCAAGGTTTTTGAATTTCTTTTGGCTCAGCAACATTTAATGAACAATTTCTTATATCAACAAACATTGTTCTACAGTTTAATTATAATGAATACTTAGTATTCAATAATCTGTATATGTTGAAAGTTATCTACCTGACTTTTATATGTGATTTTTACCTCATTTTTACATTCAATACATGGGTTCCCAGCAGTAGAATTGGCAAAATAAGGAATCTGTGCATTTTTCGGCCTTTTGTTAGCCAAAGTCCTGTTGCCAGGCTGGTCCAGTCTGCCCGCCCACTGGAAAGGTCATGAGAATGTGACCTCACCACAGCATTAACCACACGATCTTCATTATCCTTTCGGGCTTTTGCTAACCTGATATAGAAAAATACACCCCTTTGACTTTGTTTTTATT